ACAAGAATGCAAATTCTTTTATAGTGGGCTGTGGTTTTAATCCTCAGTAAAAGTAGAAATCTCCTCCAGGATATTTTTTTCTCCAGTTCTGAGAGCATCTTGCTCCCTGCCTGCACTACGCAATTTTATATTGTCGTATATTATTTCTATGTGCACATAGCTAGCTAGGTATTTATTTTGCTTTTGTTTTGCATTCTCCTTTCCCCTCCCCCCCTCCCACCCCTTGGCATTTAGAATACCTAGGAAGTGTTCAATCAATAATTGTTGAATGAGTGGCTCTCCAGTATAGTTATAATGACCTCAAAGGTCTATTGCTGTGTCGTGTCCCCCTGTCCTTCACATAGTAATGGGGACACAGTGACCTCTTATGCACGTAGTAATACATACCCTTGTCAGTTTGACCTGGGACCTCCAAGTAGCGTAGCAGCTCTTGGAGTTACTGCCGCATTAGCCTTCCCTCACTTTTTTTGGAGGGGGACACATTACTGTTTTGAGCCACAGAGTTTAAGAAATACTGCATCGGGTGTGTACTGCTGATGTTGCTAGGCCCTGTTCCAGCCACAAGGTTGCTCCAGCTCCCTTTCGTTGGAGGTCATGCGGGATGCGCTATGGACCAGCAGTTAGTGAATCATGGTATTTGAACCAGAAGGAACCTTTAGAACTTTTTGATGCTGCCGACCTCCTCATGTTGTAGCTAAAGACTGAAGTTTACTAAAGGCCTTGGTGGGTGAGCACTGATTTTCCCTCCCAGTTGTTTTAGGACAAATAATGAGTCATTGTCACTGGCCCTGGGCCTTCTCCCTAGGGCACCAACTATGCAGTAGCTGAGATGAACAAACCTTCTGAGAGGATTTAGGAAAATTAGCACTTATCTGTAGTCAAGGCTGGCTGATTTGGCAAATTAATTTTATGTAAATCTCAGGGATTCTTTTACTGTTGTCATTCCAGGGAGCTCTTCATAAACAAGGATGAGAAGAGTGCTTTGTGTCTTACAATTTAATAATAAGCTATCAGTGCCGAGACAATCAACTAAAATATTTGAGTAGTTAATAAAATAATAATTGCTGTAATTCACAGAACGTCTAGTACATGCCGAGCAAGCTACAAACCTACGACTGTCAGTTGTTTTTTTAATCCCCATTTTGTAGATGAGGAAGTTGAGGTTTAGATGGATAATTTGGCAGAGCTGACATGCCCAAATAAATAGAAAGAAATTTGAACCCAGCATTTTGACTGCAAAGTTACTGCTCTTTCTGCCACACATAACCCGTGCCAGTCATCGTGCTTTCGGATGAAGAGGAAGCCATAAAATGTGGTCCCTGTCCTCAGCTCGCAGGACATGGAAAGGGTGATGACCTACACATGCAGTAACAACAGTGGAAAGAACATAGGATCAGTGCCATAGCTGCACTGGGGGTATAGCAGCAGCTTGTCATTTGAAGTGGATCTTGAAGAATTTACGTGGGCAGAGGTAGGTGCTTGGGTAGGCTGAGGCAGATGTGGACAGAGCCGTGAATTCCGGGCTTGGCTAATTGGACTAGGGTAGCCCTGGGCAGCCAGTAATGATTTTTTTTTTTTTTTTTAATGAGGATGTGATGGGAGAGAGGATGGTGGTGGGAATCCCTGTTAGGAGACTATTCCAGTAGGCAGCTGAGCGCTACAGGAGACCTGAAGTAGTTGTGACTGTGGGTCCCATAGGGAAGGGTGTGCTCTTCCACATTTGAGGGATTTGGGGTTGCAGGAGGCAGAATCTGCATGACTGAGTAGATGTAAGGAGTTGGGTCTAAGGGGAGATGGGAAAAGATGGAGCAGACAAGACTTCAGGATTTCCAGCTAGGGCATGGGAGCCATATGACTTAGATTTCATGTGTCAGGCCCTGCTTCAAATATTGGGTCTTAATTTTCAATTCCTTTGAGTTATCTGTGTTGTATAATGTTGATTCAGGAGAGTGACGGTGACTGGGAGATGGTTGAGATGTTGAGTATTTCTAGGGGTTCTTCGCATTTCAGAAACCAAATGGTTCTCCACTAAGTGGTCCGTACAGTGGAGAAGCTGTCGTTTAATCCTGGGGCATGTGTATTCCTCTGCCTGGTCCCTTATCGCAGCCAAGTCCCCGATTTTCTATACTCAGAGAGTACAAAGCATTTGTTTTATTTTCTCCCCTCGTAGTAGAATACCCTGTTGCTCTTTTTAAAATTGTATACCACGTTGCTGGATAATTACGTAGAAGGGAAATAAAAAGAGCGTCTTCATGATTGTTGCCATTAACAAGGTTCCAGACCGGGTGTTTATGTAACATCTTCCATTTGCCTTTCAGCCCTAATGGGTTTGTAGATAAAAATGAGGCTGCATTCAGTCGTATTCAGGGGGGATGGTGCTAATAGAGGAAATTTGTGTCCCAGCAGCAATGCAGTAATGTAACTGTCAGCAATCTGCTAAAGAGTCCGGTGTTCCTGGCCTGGTGTTTTTGCAGCTCTTATTTGAGCATTGTTAGGGAGAAAAATAATGCTTTTCTGATGTGTTGTGTCTCTTTGCTGTGAGACTGACTTCGCACGTAGATATTGTCTGCATTTTCTGTTGAATTCTCCCCATTCTTGGAAATTTGAGGGCTTTCTGGTTGCTGGTAGAGAATTCTCTACATACTGTTTTTTGGAAGCTCTAGAAATCCGTGCTCATTCCATCCAGGGGACTGCATCATCCTGGGTACTGCGAGTGGGACTCTAAACTACCTTCTGCAAAAGAAAAAAATTATGCAACTAACATTTGTTCCATAGATTCTTTGTTAGGTGTGAAAAGCATGCCCGGCACGTGCAGATTTACACATTCACTTGCTGTGTCTCCGGCCTTACTGTTGAGGAAGTCTAGGCTCAGAAAGGCAGTAACTTGGGTGAAGTCACACAGCTAGCTCCAGACGCACGGTTCAACCCACGTGTGCGTTACTGCAGATTTGGTCTTGTTTCTGGACTGTAGTACGCTGTTACTGTTAGTGTAGCAGGAATTCAAACGAATGACTTGTTCTGGGGTGGAGTAATTAGGGAAATCATCAAGGAATGGAATAATAAAAAATATGAAACATGGGACAGATAAGAGAGGATCGGATCCTGGAGGCAGGTAGTCCCAAAATAATAATAATAGTAGTAATAATAAATTTTTACTATGTTGTAGGCACTGTTTAAATATATTAACTCATTTTGTCATCATAACAACTGTATGAGGTAGGGGCAGTTATTATTTTCATTTTGTAGGTGAGGAAACAGAGAAGTTAAGGCTCTTGCCTAAGGTCACACATTAAGTCAGGCGTGGCATGCAGATGAGAACTCGGGTGGTCTGATTCCAGAGCCTGTGATGTGGGGCAGTGAAGAGGAAGGGGCGGGTCAAGGAGGCTGCTTCAGGGCTGAGGATGGTGGGTGTGAACGGGGGGAAGGGTGACTGGGCACAGGGATGGGGTGAAGGCTGTTGGTTTGGGGAGTACTGTGTGCAGGCGGATGCCTTAAGCTCAAAAGAAGTGAAGGTGGACAAGGATTAGGAGGGGACAGCCTGCAGGGGTGCTCGCAGTTCCCGGGTAGGAGGAGGAGAAGAGGAGAGTCAGGGATGGAGCACCCAAGGAAGAAGAGCTTGGGGGTGAGGCCCCGGTGTCAGTTTGCCAGAGACCTCATGGACGTGGGTAACTGCAGAGGACCTGAGTCATCCACCGTCATCTCTGTGCTTCTGTGTTTTATGGTCTCTGCTTTCACACCGGTTTCTTGCCTCGCATTATGTTTTTAGCACTTTTTCTTTTTTATTATTTCAGACCTGATTAGGCGTTTTGTAGCACAGAAATCTTGTTTAAAGATGAGGATGGTGGGTATATTTGTTCCTGTTGTCTCAGAATTTCAGCTAAATCTCAAAGTGGGGGGTAAAGAACACTAACGACGCCACAGTCTAAGGATGTTGCCAGCAGCTCTAGGTTGCACGTACGTTCCTACCTCCAGACCTGACCTACCACCATCAACCGCCACGTCGCTCTGGACGTGGTTGGCCAAGCGGATGCCAGCTGGGGAACGCAATGCCTGTGTCCTCTTCTCAGTGACGCCTGCACTCCCTTTCTTTCCTTGGCTTCATTGAGGAAAGCAGCTCACCCTCAACCCTGCCTCTCCTCTCGAGGCTGGCCCCCACGTCCTCAGCCCTGGCCCCAGTCTTCTTCATGTATTGGTTGGAGGTTGGGACGAGAAGGGGTTGGTGAAAGTTGGGCTAACTCTAGTATTTCTCAGCAAGTCATGAGGAAAGATGAGCCATGCCTATTTGCTGGATGCTCTCTGTAGAGCAGTGGGCTTGTTAATTTTGTCTACACTTTAGAATGATCCAAGGAGCTGATGCCTTGGTTGCACCCTAACCCAATTAAATCAACTCTGTTTGTGGGACACCAGTACCAGGGGCTTTGAAAACTCTGCAGGTGATTCCAATAAGCAGCGAAGGTTGAGAACCACTGCTGTAAAATGTGCTGTAAGATGGGTTGGGGGGCGGTATTTGGGGTCTCTTATTCCCCAGGTTTGGGTTTTAGCCACAATTCTTTGAAATCAGCAGATATCTCACTCAGTATCTTACTGAATAAACAAAAATAAGATTAAGGTTGTGTTTTAATCTGTTTTGTAGCAGAATGCTATGTTTATTTTTAAGTGAAGGATCAAGGTTATGCTTGGACTTTTTCTGAATGGTAAAATTTATAGTAAAGTGAAAAGAAGATTAGTGTGTCTTATTTGCCATCCTAAATGCTGCATTTTAGTGTCATACAGTAAATGAGTTTCATCCCAGCAAGAGAATCTGACTGAAGCCATGTCACTGGGATGGGCTAATAGACATCGCAGTCACCAGGAGGCACGTGTAACAGTCTTATTCTAGCAAGTTCACTGTTACCCTGTTTTGACAATTTGTCTTAAGAACCCAGCTGTTTCGTTAGGATTGCATGTGCCTCTTCAAGGCACCACTTCATTGGCTTTCCATTTCCTTGATTTTCTCACAGCTTGAGAGATGGCTGCCCAGTGCGTCACGAAGGTGGAGCTGAATATTTCCTGTGACAACCTTTTGGATACAGATGTAGGGTCAAAGTCAGACCCTTTGTGTGTGCTGTTTTTGAATACGAGCGGTCAACAGTGGTATGAGGTAATATTAAATACTGTAGGTGCAAAGCAGTCTGAATCTCTCTTGTGACAACATGAGGAGTTTTACACATGTTAAAAATAGTAAAACCATCTCATCTGTTAATGTAGTTTTCTGGGGTGAGTTTGTCCTTGATTGTGGAATTTTTCATCCACATATAGAAACTTCCCTTACCTGTCGTGCTTATACTTAGTTACATTTAGTACATAAAGATACTGAAATCTAAGTGCACATTTGATCTGAAGAAACTTTTTTGTTTTGGGGGGTGCGTATAGGTGGAGCGCACAGAAAGGATTAAGAATTGCTTGAATCCCAAATTTTCCAAGACGTTTATTATTGATTACTACTTTGAAGTGGTTCAGAAATTGAAATTTGGGATTTATGACATCGACAACAAAACCATCGAGCTGAGTGATGACGACTTCTTAGGAGAGTGTGAGTGTACCCTTGGACAAGTGAGTATGAATAGTTGCTAGACTGCATTTTGGCTAAATTTTAACCAAAGAATTGGTGTTTTGGATAAGTGCTCATTAGTTTAATTTTTTAAGTTGAGAAACATGTAGTCACTTTGAAGACTAAGTTCATATATTGGTGTGATTGGCTTGAACATTATAGAATTTACCTGATTTTTCCTAAGGGCAAGGACCTTGTGTTTTTGGCAAAGCCTGTTAATTCTTTTGAGTTGGGGGTGTTTCATTCGACATTTCAATGAATGATCCCATTGCTCCAGCTGCTTTGGGTGCTGTTCACAGATTTCAGTGCAGTGTTGTTCTTACGTTTGTCATAAATGCTGTCAGAGCAACAGCAACTTTGAGTCCTAACCAGCATGACCGGTACCTCTTGACCCCCCAATGCCCCAACACCATCGTTTTGCTCTTCTTGAACCCTGGGTTCATCAGTTAAACCTTAGTCCCGCTAGGAAGCCTTCTTTGATCCTGGTGTAGTTTGGAGCGCCTCCCCGTGCTCACCTGGTTCTCTCTGCTGCCCTCTGCCTCGGCGTGCCCGTATTTACTGCACTTACCTAATTGTCTGTCTCTCCGTGTATGACCGGCTGGGGCAGGGCAGGGCCATGTCTGTGGGCTCACCGTGGTGCTCCTAGCTCAGAGTTGGACTCCTGAGGCGAGGTCGTGACCCTTTGTAGTAGAATGGGGAAGGCTTCAGCAGGGACGAGTCATTTTTTTTCAGTGGGTGACATTTATTGCTCAGATTTTTCCTTTATGAGTTTATTTTTCAGTGTTGGATTGTTTGCGGATCATGGTATTTCCTGTGTCTAAAGGACAATATGGAGCTGATCAGTTTTCTAAAACTTTGATAAATAGTATCAAAAGAGAAAATTGAAGTCGTTTTTATTTTTTGGAAAAAAATCACAGTATAGCTAAAATTATAGTGAATTTCAGAGAGACACCTATTTGAGAGTACCTGGGTCTACTGTATTATTTTATTCAAAATGACATTTTGTGGGGATTATATATTGAAGTTATGTGTCAGTTGATAACTTGAATCCCATTTATCAAGTGTTCTGGGCCCACCTTTTCCCACAGGGGTTTCAGCTCAGTGATTTATGAACGCAGTGAGAGTCTGGCCCTCTTTTCCCATTATGAGGAAGAAGTTAAGCTTTGAAGTCGTTGATAAAGAACCTGGTGGGCAGGAGATTGTGTCTGCCAGGACTGGCTCCTTGGAATCTTTTCCAGTGGGTTTTTAGTGTGTAGATGGCTTTTATGATCTCTACATCTTTAAGGAAGGAACTTAATGTTTCCATTTTTAATGACTTTAAGTGAACTTTATACTCAACCTTTTTGAAGCCATTCAGTTTAAAAATTCACACATGGAAGTGAAATAGCTCTTTGTAATGTCACTTTGCAATTTTCACAGATTGTTTCCAGTAAGAAGCTGACTCGACCACTGGTGCTCAAAAATGGCAGACCTGCAGGGAGAGGGAGCATCACGGTAACACTGAGATACTCGTCCTTTGCCTCCAAAGATTTAGCATGATAGAGCATGCTGGAACTGTACATTTCAGACAAGTATTCTACAGCCAGGCTTTATCGCTTGATCCTTAACGTTGCCCTCCATCCACCCTTGCCTTATATTGATCACAAATGGGAAATGTGTTGTGCCAAAAAAGAAAGAAAAATGCAGTGAGAGAATTCCTTCTTTGAGGTTTTTTTTGTTTTTGTTTTTAGTGAGGAAGATTGGCCTTGAGCTAACATCTGTTGCCAATTTTCCTCCTTTTGCTTGAGGAAATTGTCGCTGAGCTAATATCAGTGCCCATCTTCCTCTATGTGGGACGCTGCCACAGCATGGCTTGACAAGTGGTGTGTAGGTCCGCGTTTGGGATCTGAACTTGCAAACCCTGGACTGCTAAAGTGGAGTGTGTGAACCTAACCGCTATGCCATTGGGCCGGCCTCATTTCTTTGAGTTTTTAAGTTGCCTGTAGACTCAGGGGCACGTTGGTGATGCTTGCCTCTCTCCAATGGAAGGGTAAATTCCCAAGTTAGAGAGAAACTACTTAATAATCCGAATGGATCAGTTTGGCTCTCTATAAAGCAAGCACCGTCCCCTCAGCATGACAGAACATTCCATAATGCGTTTTATTCCAGATGGATCTCGTATTACGACGTGGCCATTGAAACTTGGCTCTTAACTGTCGTTTGTGCTTGTGCTCTGCTGCTCCTGTCCTCCCACCCGCGTTTTCCACTGCTGACGTCCTGGCTCTGGGCAAATGAATATATGCTTTATCCTGTTTTAGATTTCAAGTCATATAATGCCACGCTATTAAATATCTCATTTGTAGAGTTTCTGTCTGGTAATCACTACCTGGAGTGACAGTTTCCTGACTTCAGCTCTGTCTGAGGACGGGAGGCTGGCTCCCGGAGAAAGCCACTTTCGAGGGTGACTGTGATGATCAGACACACTTCTCTGCGCAGCTGCTGTGCTCTGGTTTAAATTTCCTGCGGCATGGGGACGCTCGGTCTGTTGGGCCTGTTGATGTCGGTGGGACAGAGAACATTACCAGTCGTTAGCTTTATTCCAGGCCACCATAGCCTGGAATTTGTTTTTAAGTAGAATAAGTCTTTCAGTTAGACTGGATGAAAAATGTTGGTCTGACGTTTCCGTCTGTAGTGCTCTCTAGGTATGGTTTAATCAGCCTCCCAGTGTTTGGAGAGCTCTAGCCAGTGTCGTGCGGTCTTCCACGGCTTTGCTTTTTCGCTGGAGTGGGGAAGATCCAGTTTGGGCAAGAACATTTAAAAAGGAAGTTGCATAACGCAGATTTGGCATATTTGGGGAAAATATTTATTTCACATGCATAAAAGAGATAATGATAAATCTTTCTTGATGGTACCATTTTGTTATTAAACATTTAGAATTCATTTATATTAGTATAAACTTTATATACTGTTAGATAACAGAATAAGTCAGTGCTTCCTGGATATATCAGAATCCCTAAAAACATACTTTCTTTCACTTGCCTTATCTACTCATAGATCTCAGCCGAAGAAATAAAGGATAACAGAGTGGTCTTGTTTGAAATGGAAGCAAGAAAACTGGATAATAAGGTGAGTGGTGGTGAGATTCCAACAAGGATATCCTGTTTTGCTTCACAGTGATTCCTTTTGAGAAAATAATAACACGGTTAATATTGTGAACTCCATCAGCTGAGCGTCACCTAGAGCATTAGTGACTTCCAAGTTCTGCTTTTCTGTGTGTGTTTAAGCAGAGCCCATTTCTCTCTACCTCTTTCCTCGAGATATGATCAAAGGATTTGCCTCGCCCAGAGGAAGAGTGAATACAAGCATTGATTTTATGTAAAATACATTTGAGAGAGTGTAGGTGGGTTATCTTAAGGAAAAAGCAAACGTTCCATGCTTTATTAATTACAGATTTTCCTTTTTGCATTCAAAAGTCAGTACTTTTTATGAAGGATGAGTACTAGTACGTAATAACACAACCATTTAGTATACAGCATGGATTAGAATAATTCCTTGAGTGACTTTTGTACTTAATTCTATAATCTAATCAGTATTTTTCAGCATTTGCATTTACCTTACATTTCAGTTTGCAAACATCTTAGACCTGTAGCCAAGGACTTTTTTTTTTATTTTGGAAAAATTTAAACGTTTACAAAAATAGAATAGTATTTTAAAAAAATTTTCCTGTCCCCTCAGCCGTCTTTCAACAGTTGTAACTCATGACCGGCTTTGTTTCATTTCTGCCCCTTTCTGCCTTCTCTCCTCCCAGACATATTGTCATTTCATTTTAAATATTGCGGTGTCTCTCTAAAGGCTCTTTAAAAAATATAATTGGTTAATATGTCTCAAGTCTTTTTTAATCTGTAAGTCCCCCCCTTTTTTTACTTCTTTCCTCCCTCCCTCCCTCCTTCCCACCCATCCGTCCATCCATCCATCCATCCGTCCGTCCATCCATCCATCCACGGAGTTTATTCTATAGAGAAGCTGAGTGGTTTGTCCTGTAGAAATTTCATACTCTGTGTAGCTCATTAAACCCCTGTGGTGTCCTTTAACATGTTCCCCTCTCTGCCTTTGTTTCCTGATTTCTGTAAGCAGGTCATTGAATCTAGAGGCATGATCTGACGGTATCTTGAATTGTGGGTAAGACACTTTCCTAGGTGGTGGCGTGTACTTCCATCCGGAGGCTTGTAGTGTTGAGTTGTATCTTTTTGGGATGTTAGTGGTCATTGACCATAACTACCTAGATATATTATTTTAGTCAGAGTCTGCAAAATTGTGATATTCTCATGCTATCATTACTTCATTTATTAGTGAGAATACTTCTAGAGAGAGAAGTATTCATCTCCACGTTAGGTATTTATTCTGAGGTAGGGTCTGTACAGAAAAGGCAAGTTAAAATGTTTGATTTTTTTTCCCCCATATTTATCATTTTTCAGAATAAGTTGGTTCCCTACCATCCTCTAACTGTGCCCAATGAGGGTTTTTTTTGTTTGTTGTTTTTAGTTTTAGTATCGCTGTCAATTAATTCTCATTGATGCTCAAAGTACCCCAGCTTTGGCCTGTGGGAGCTTCTTTCAGTTTGAGCCTGAGACCGTCTGTCACAACCCCGGGGTCTTTGGATAGCTTGCTTGCTCTGTGGAGTGACAAATGTTCCAGGCTTATTTTATCTAATTTCTGCCCCAGATTGGCAGATTAAAAGAAACCTTACTACATTTTAGTGGGAATTGCTATTTAGAGAACACAGTCTGGTACTGGCGGTGCTTACTGTTTATTGATTATTGTGGCTCATTGTTTCTAGAGTGTTTTAGTAAACAGATGTAGGAAAGACTTTTTTTTAAGAAAAACTAAATTATAAATTTACATAACTATTTCCAATTCAGATATAGAATACAAGGCTTTATTTCTTTAATTCTATATTTATACCTCTTTTCTCTTATGCTGAAAATCTTGGTTCCTAAAAATATTAACGTAATTACTTATCTCTTTTGTCTTATATAATGTCTAATAGTTTCATAATAAAAATATCCATATTATAATTGAAATATTTTTAGTGAAAATAGTTTGAGCTTTCTTTGAAGTTCTTTTCATCTTTAGGTTATATATTCCACTTGCGTTATACAGTCAAATTCTTGTGTTTTAGAGAAATCGTTCTTCTCTGAGTGGTTATCCTGTCACCTTGACACATGGTTGAATTTCGCTTTTGATATTTGGCATTAAACTGTGCTGCGGAGGGAAATAGTTGTCTTAGTTCTGAATTTAATACTGAGATAAATTCAGGACTCAGAAAGTCTTTGGTTTAGGGACCTAGCTGCATATATTACTGTGGAGTTAACAGGTGTTCTTTCATTTTGACAAAGAATAAATAATATATTCTAAGGAGTATAGAAATTTCAAAATGAAGATAAACAAAAATGGGAAAATAAAACTATCCATAATCTGACTGCTCGAGTTTAACCTTAAGGAGTAATTTGTACATCCTTCCAGAATTTTGTCTCTCTGTGTATGTGTGTGCGTGTGCGCGTGTGTGCGTGTTGAGATGGCGATGAGGGTATTTTTGAGCCCTCAGTGTGCTTGAGCATTGTACAGCAGTGCTGTGAATTTCAGAGGAAATAGAAGATGTATTTTGTGCCGTTGAAGTAATTCTACCATGCACTCCACACATTTACCTCTGCTCCCTGTGTGTGTAAAGAAATGCGTGGAATTGGTGAAAGAGTATTGGCTATAGAAAGATGAGATATGAAGTCAAGACTTGGATCGATGAGTTAATTAGATATGGAATGTTGGCAAAGTTGTTGAACCTCTCTGAATCCATTTGGTTGCTGATAACTGCTCTGTCCCTCATAGAATTAGTATGACTAATGTTTGGGGTATCTTTTATATAAGACTTCTCAGTGCCGTGTGAGTGAACACTGTTGATAATGAAAACAAGCCAGAAATGTTTTATTGATTATGAGTCCTATTGATCAGTATGTTTTAAAGCCATCATATTTTTGAGAAGTAAGGGTGAGACACACAGGATTGCAAGTATTTATCACAAATGCCGTAAGAGTCCTCCTAGTAGATGGCAGCAAGTTTCTGAGTCTGCGAGGAAGGCGATGGCAGTGGTGTTTACTGCTGTACTATGCTATGTATGTCTGTACGATGGAGCTAGACTTAAGGCGTCGTTAACATGTAACGTGTGAAGTATAGTTTCACATGGTTTCAGAGGAGAATAAATCCTTTTCTTTTTTAATGTAGGATCTGTTTGGAAAGTCAGATCCGTACCTGGAATTCCACAAGCAGACATCCGATGGAAACTGGCTGATGGTGCATCGAACAGAGGTGAATATCTGAATTTGGAAAGTAGAGTTTAGGTTTCCTTTGGAATTGTAGTAATCTGAATTTTTAAAAATTATGTATTTGTAAAAGTAATCAGAGTTCAGATATATAGCCAGAGACACAGGGTCAACATGCTCATTTTTTTTCTTTTAATGAGGAAGTACTCCCATACTTAATTATTAAGTTTTTATTTTGAAAAATGTAAAACCCTATTAAAAAACCCTAAGATACCTGTGTCTCCTTCACCTATATTCACCGACTGGTCATCCCTGCACACATGTGTGTTTTTTCTCTCTGTCCCTCACTTGTGTGCACACACACACCACGCACACACATACACACACATGCACACATGCCCACATATACTTCCCTTTTGTAAAACCATCCTAATGTAGGCTGCAGACATCACGACTCTGCCTTTAAATACTACAGCAGGTGTTTCTTAAGCACGAGGGCATTGTCCTATACAACCACACCTGAGAATTAACATTGATTCAGTAACGTCATCCAATATACCATTCATCTTCAGATTTCCCTGGTTGTCTCACACATGGTTTATATACATATTGTTTTGTTTTGTCCAACATCAATTCGAGGTTCACATTTTGCATTTGGCTATTATGTTCCCAATATGAGACTCTTCTCCCTTCCTCCCATATACCTTCATGCCGTTGACTCTCTTGAATAATCAAGACCAGTATGTCAATGTTCTGGAGTCTTCTGTTTCCTCACAGCCAGATCCAGATCAAACATTTCCATCAACAGCATTATGTGTGTACCTTGCTCTGCATCATCAGGGGCCCCATGATGTCATGCTGCCCAATATTATTGATGCCAACCTTGACCGCTTGGTTGAGCTGGTGACCACCAGAGCGCGCCATGGTGAAGTCCCTTTTTTTTTCTTTGTAATTAATAAATGATCTGTGGTGTGATACTGTGAGACTGCAGGAACAACCTGTTCTCCAGCATTCCACCCAGTGGTTTTAGCATCTATTGGCAATCCATACATGAATCCATTGCTGGAGGTCATAAAATAATGATTTTTTTTTCTGAATCTTTCATCCCTTTACATATATTAGCAGATACTCCTCTTTCATCTCTCCTTTCTCACTTTCTCTTTTCTTATTTTAGTATCATTGTAGACTCATGGATTGTTACAGCACAGTTGTGTTTCTTGTGTTATAATTTATTACCGTCACCATTATTATTAAGATTGGCCCTGACCTAACATCTCTTGCCAATCTTCTTTTATTTTTTCCTTCTCCCAAAAGCTCCAGTATATAGCTGTATATTCTAATTGTAGGTCCTTCTAGTTATGTGGGACACCACCTCAGCATGGGCTGATGAGCGGTGCATGTCCACACCCAGGATCTGAACCTGTGAAACCCTGGGCCACTGAAGTGGAGCGTGCGAACTTTAACCTCTTGGCCATAGGGCTGGCCCCATTACTGTCATTATTTTTGCTGCTCAAATTAATCCAAATTTGACCAGCGAGGAGTGCCTTCATGTGACTCCTAGGTTCTTTTAACATGACCTCATTAGCCTTTAAGCATCCTCTTATTTTATGTTAAAGTATATTCTCAGTTCACCTTGTGCTTGCCTGGGCCAGGTCTGCAATGAGTTATTTCTTAAGGAACACTGTCCCTTTAAGAGGGTAGCAGTATTTGGACACCCAGATCTGAGTCTAGATGTTCTCATTGCTACTGGGATGTCGCTGCATTCAGGCCTTTTCAGTGGGTTCAGCTGGGAAACGTGTATTTGTGTATATCTGTTTATTATGTATGTGTATATGTATACATTTTTTAAATTTTAAATCATGAATTTAGACTATTTGTTCAGTTCAAATCCAACCCAGCAAGGTTCTTTTCCATCCTTTCTTATTCCATATTTGAATCTTCTGTGTCCTGCAGTGAAAAGCCTGGTTTCCAACAAAATCAATAATCTGTAGTTTCTAAGCGTTACTTGTAATGGGTGGATACATTTCCCAAGTAGTTTTTTTTCTTTCCTTGGAGTGTATCACGACTAGACACTGTACCACGTTTTTCGTGTAGTAGTTGTATCATCTTGTCGTAGCTGGGTTTCCACTGAGAGGGTCGCCTGGGTGGAGAGGTGAAGGCTGACTGGTGAGAGTGTGGGCAGAATCTCGGGAAGGCAGGACCAAGATGTGAATGGAAGTTTTCCTGGCTGGTCTTTGCACCTTCATTTTTACAGGTTATTAAAAACAACCTGAATCCCGCGTGGAGGCCTTTTAAAATCTCTCTGAACTCCCTGTGCTATGGAGATATGGACAAAACTATTAAGGTAATTTGAAATTATCTATCTGTTATATATGCACATTTACACACATACTCACCTCTTTTATAAAAAGAATTGATGAGATAGTATTTAAGAAGGTAAATGATGTAATAGATAGCTATAGGATTGAATTTCATTTCTGTTGAGGAATACTACAATAGGAGTGTTTCTGGTGAGGAAATGGTCGGAAGGACTAGGCATGTTTGACTGGTCTATGAACCTAAATCTTAATCAGATGCTGTGATTTTTATTTTACCCTTCATTTTTACAAATAAGATAGTCAATTTAAATCGTTCTTTTAAGAAGATTCCTTTGCTCTGCGAATAGCAACCTTTAACCACACTTCCCACACTCGGCCTGGGGCGTGCCGGGCAGGTGACGGCAGCTGCCGCTCTCAGGCCCGGGGCCGCCTCCTGTCCTCAGCAGCAGAGATCAGTGGCGGCGTTTGCTGCTGCTTATTTTCAGAACAAGATATAATTCATTGAAAACTTTTACACAGCTTTAGATTTAGAGTCAGGAAAGCAGAGTGGGAAGAGGAAGTGGCAGCAGATATCCAACAATGTTTTCATTTATACCCGTTTATTACAAAATATATATTATTTTTAAGACACTTTATAACTGGAGTCACTTTACATAAAATTCCAGAGAGAAGCCTTTTCTTGTGTTCAGATGTCAGGTGGGTTTTTTGTTTGTTTGGCTTTGGTTGTTTTTCCTGGTGATTAATGTGATGAGAACAGGCAGAGTGACGGCATGGGACAAGCTTAGGTTAGGACTCAGACCAGGGTCTACCTTTTGACTTAGGCGTTTAACCAGCTAAGGGGTCTTGGGCAGCCCGTCTGACTTCTTCGCTTATGTAATAGGGAAAACAATGTCTATATTACAAAAGAAGTAAGGATTAAATTAATGAAAGTGCAAGTTTTAGAAACTGCTATACACAGTACAGATGCTGTTATTGTTGAAAACTGCTTCGTTTCGTAGATCCATAAAAGCTTGTTCTCAGTTTGCAGAATACTTTAAAGATCAATGTAAGTATGATTTATGTGATATTTTGAACAGCAGTGAAAATCTAGGTAAAAAATAAACAGTTGAAAAGTAGGTTTACAAATTACTTTCTATTATATTAAATGTAGAACTTTTGCTTTTCACATTAAAAATAGTAAGTTGAAGTTTATTAGATCTGAGATGCAGGAAAGGATGGGGAAAAAATGCCTTAACCATACCTATTTGATTGTTTGTAATAATACGTTAACAATGAAACATTGTTTCTTAAACTTTTTTTGCACACAGTGGCTTGCTTGCAGGGCTATTTTGTTATAGTAAGTAAACTGATTTCCTGAAGCTTTGTCTGATGAATGTCTTCCATTCTTCAAAGTTTCTCTGTTTTAACTACACAACTTGATTTGCCACATCATCAGTGTCTTTATTTCTTTAGTTCTGTATTTCTTTGCAGTGTCAGAAAGTCATACATCTGTGATTCTCTTGGTGTTTGGAACCTGCTTGGAGGTGTAGTAAAAAGTCATAAAGCAGAGAATAGAGTCAGAATCACCAGTAACTTCTTTGCTGCAGTGTGAACATGCCAGTGGTTTCACTCTAGCATGGAGTGTTATTTTCCTAAGATCAAGTGAATAAGAGAAGTAATCATGCATGCCTCCACCTTGCCTGAAATGGGAATGCCTTAGTGAATGTAGTGTTGTGTGGTGTGTGCGTTCTTTCACATATATGCGTACGCACATACGTATATATGCATATATTTCAATCACAAGCGCTGCTGATACTGTGGTTTAGAGCAGCCAGTAGTACTGGTTTTTGAATTCTTGAGAAGAGAAATTAAGTGACACAAATCATTATATCACCTGCCTCCAGCTGTAGCTGAACAGATGCCAGCATTATAAATGTCACACCTTTCTTTACCACTAAACATTTGCCTTCAACAGGGCAACAGTGAGCTTTTCCTATATATTATGGTAAGTTATCAGAAATTACAGTTTAAAAATATTTTCACATTTCCTGAAGTTTGAGGCAGTCTAAACATGACATTTTAGGTCTTCATTAGCTTTGTTTAAATAACATTTTGCCCTTATCAAAGCTTGCTCTTGTCTTAGATATAAATTGGAGTTTCCTGAATGCAAATCTAAGATGCAAAGTCTTGTTTTCCAGAATTAAAAAAAACTGTTAAAAAGTGCAGTCATTAAAATATTGATTGTTTTCAGCTTTATCATAATTTTACTTCCTATAGAAAAAGATTAGTAAGAAAATTAATTTTCTTTTCCCTTGAAGAGTCAGATTTAGGGCTTTGGGTTTCAAAGTCAAGTATCAACTATATGGCAGGAGTCAAACAGTCAGAATTGCTCTGTGGCTGCAGTGCTTGCAACAAATAAAAACCCTTGTTGTTACTCAAAATTGCGGTTCTGGACTTTGTTTTTATTAGTTGCTTGATTGATTTTTAGTCTTCTGAATAATAGTGAAAATATCGGTAAGGTGTGAAAGACTCCTGCTATTATAAGCACTCAGTCCGCTTCCCACGGAACTGAGCAGAGAATTAGTCACTGGGCCAGGCGAGCCCGAGCAGGTCCCGGGCGCTCCAGTGTGGTGGTTAGTCTGCCTTGGTGAAGGGCAGCCCACTGGCATCGTGTCAGCACAGAAACCTTCTCAGGTACAGGCTTTGTTTTAGATTGTAGGCTCTGGAACAATTCAGAAGTGTCCAGCCCAGCCCTCCTTTCCCTGTGTCGGTTACCACTCAAGACGCACATCGTCGGGGCCGGCCGGGTGGCGCAGCGGTTAAGTGCGCACGTTCCACTTCTCCACGGCCCGGGGTTCGCCGGTTTGGATTCCGGCTGCGGACATGGCACTGCTTGGCAAAAGCCATGCTGTGGTAGGCATCCCACGTATAAAGTAGAGGAAGATGGGCACAGATGTTAGCTCAGGGCCAGTCTTCCTCAGCAAAAAGAGGAGGACTGGCAGTAGTTAGCTCAGGGCTAATCTTCGTCAAAAAAAAAAAAAAAATCGTCTGAGACTGGTGAGCTCCTCTGCCTCCCTCCGGAGCCTGAGTAGACATAGGGTGAAGGGCACGTAGTAGATGTTTGTAGAGGTGCAGTCGTCTGTCCTGAAATTCTAAGGTGCTATAGAGAGCTGGTTATTCAGTGATCACAGTGACCTCCTCTGCCTGCTAACAGCTCACACCACCTGAACTGTCTCGTTGCAGTGACTATTCAGGTATTCTCATGCATGCTTACTCTCTGGCTTCATCTCTCGGCTTGGCACTAAACTCCATGCAAATCAAAGACCCTCAGCTCTCTTCTCTGCTTTAGGAAGGAGCGAGCATTTAGTGAGAGCCATAGCTGAGACTAAAATTCACCCTGTCTTACATGGAAACGCAGAAAATAGGACCCAGCGTGGCTGCTTCCTCAGGGGGTTAAGTGCTCTTTCCTGGAGTTTTCTTTTTCATCATTGTGACCCTTAGAATAATGCACATGTGACTTCATCATATGTAACTCCTGCTGCAAGCCTAGCCTTCCAGCCTGCAGCTAATGAAATCCTTTTTCCGTAGTTCTAAATTGTCTAGAATTTAATTAGACAACGTTTAGCTGCCCGGGATGCTGACTTCCTTTCTTCCTCCAGAGGATGGCTTTGGCCATTTTATAGTGATGACAAGGTATGGGAGTGGAGGAGAAAGGAGGCGTAATTCCGTCTTGGCTTCATCAGCGCTTATGAAGGGCGTGAAAGAGGAGCTGGAGGCTGCTTAACGTGGAATTTAAACAGCGTTTGTGTTTTTCATCTGCCTGTGATCTGTGCTAGAGCCCCATTGCGAACAGCTGAGGCCTGGAAGTGCTTCAGTATTGGCCCTCTAGGAGCTCAGTTCCCGCGTCTCCACGTGGGACTGTGTATTACACCTTTTCACTAGTTTTGACTAAAAGGGCATTCCTCGGTAAGTCCCGTTTATTGCAACCAATCCTTTTTAACAAAAGTACGTTGATTTTTATGTATTTTTATTATGCTTAATTCTAGGTAGAGTGCTATGATTATGACAACGATGGGTCGCATGATCTCATTGGAACCTTTCAGACCACCATGACGAAACTGAAGGAAGCCTCCAGAAACTCCCCTGTGAGCTGGTCTTTGTCATTTCCACGTACTTCACAGTTTGGCCAAATATTTATTATTTCAGTTTTTTCCTTGGTAGAGCAAACGGTTTACCGTGTTTTTACTCTGTATTACATAATAGTCTGAAATATGTGGATTTTATTTGTTTAGCAATTGGATGATCCAAAATTTACACTTGGGCTAAGAGTTAACATTTGTATTTAGAGATTTGGTTTCCTTCGGCTTCAGATGACATAGATCATTTGATTGAAAATCCTGTTTTAAAGCTTCGGCCTTTCATTGGTCACAATAATTAGTATCTACAACACTAGATGATTACCTGGGCTTGAACTGTGTGCATTATGATCCTTTGGACGGGCTCTTATCGGCTGCGTCCGGCTCCTCTCTCCGCCTCGTCCCCACCACAGGAAGCGTAAGAGCATAGTTACGGAACGGCCAGTTGTGCAGACTGAGCTGCTGTGCAGCGGCGCTCATTTTGTTAAGATTGTTTGTCTGCCTTAACTGCACTCAGTTTATTATTTAGCATCCTGACGTATTTCTAAGAATGCTTCTGAACTTTCCTGTCTCCAACCAGAATGACTAAAAACTATTCCAGGGCATTTTATAAGTAAAACTTATAAGTTGCTTCCATCTTCTTTACCTTTCTAGTTGAATAAGTTGTTAGTTCTCTTTATAGCTTACTTATAACAGAATGATATGAATTGTTTGTCACCTGCTTAGAGACCCGAATAATGCTCACGTGTATAGCCTTTGCTTTGGACAATACGCACATGGGGTTTAGAGGTGAAAGGTCATGGTCAGGTGAGAAGGTCTTTTGTACTGAGTCCTGTAAAGGAAGTGGCCTAAAGGAAGACGCCGATAGTTTTAGATCAAAACTTAAATACTAAATGAATAAATAAAACTTGTGAGTCGTTTGGTTTAAATAATTGGAAGAAATGACTTTTAAACAAGCGTAGTGGGACTGGAATTTGCAGTAGGTCACGCGGAGACCTCCAGTCCTGCCCCACTCCCTGGCCGCAGAGCCCAGGCACCGGCAGGAGCCTTTACAGAACTGCGTGTGTGAAGGAGGAAAGGCCTTTCAAATCGCACCTCATGGTTGAACGGCAAAGATTGAATTGGCTTTAAGTTAACAATCTTTGAATTAAAACAGCAGCAAAATTCACCTGTAAATATTCTATTCAAAGATTTTTTTTTAGAAGGTGGGACTAATGGAAAATGCTAAAAATCTTAACACGTCAAATAAAGTAAGCTACCTAAAAGAGCTGTGAGGAGCCGTCTGGATTGTTGCTTCACTGATTCCACTTTGTCGTTATTTTCCAGTCAGTAATGACCTGCTTTTAGAAGACAGTGAGCTAAGTAACTGTGTCCTGCTGTATGTATTATGGAAAGTTTTCCTGAATCCAGCTAACTTGAGCCTCCCCCCACCCCGGGACAGAATGAGGCTTGTCGTGTTGCTGCAGTGACACGGTCTAGCCACGCCCGTTCTTCAGAGACGGGGCTTTGTCTCACCGTCTCTGTGTTCTCAGTGCCAGAGCAGGGCCCGCCACCTGGTACTCACTCTGCAAGAGTGTGAAGAAATCAAGTGAAGTAATGCGGCCGTTTACCAGTGAGAATGCTGTTTAATGCATCTCTGCATCTCAAATATTCGATAATTAATATTTATGATGGTGACTGAGACTCTGGCAGGATTCTGAACCATCAAGGAATTTGTTTAACATAATTTTCTTTTGTATCATTGTATCAAATATACTTTTTAATGTTTGATTCTTAGAAAATTAGTAATGACTCTGTCTAAAGTACATGAGTTGCTTTCTGTTAACCAGAAGAGGTGACTTCCCAAGTATTCATTGAGTATCTCTTATTTCTTATTAGACAAGACAGAGAAAATTGGAAGGTATAATTTATAGGTGATTATACCCTAGGTGTGAAAAGAAAAATGAAATGAAACAATTGAGAAGAATTAAAAGTACATAACTAGGGGCTGGCGCGGTGGTGCAGCGGTTAAGTGTGCATGTTCCACTTCGGCAGCCCAGGGTTCACCAGTTCAAATCCTGGGTGTGGGCATGGCACCGCTCGGCAAGCCATGCTGTGGTAGGCATCCCACATATACAATAGAGGAAGATGGGCATGGATGTTAGCTCAGGGTCAGTCTTCCTCAGCAAAAAGAGGAGGATTGACAGCAGATGTTAACTCAGAGCTAATCTTCCTCAAAAAAAAAAAAAAAAGTATGTAACTAAATTTTATATGGTTGTGGAAGTTTAAGGAGATGGATGGGCATCAGGGAAGACTGGAATGGTAGCTGATGTTATAGAGAAGGACCTTGACCCAGCTGTACAGATGGACAATGGATTAGAGGTGGAAAGGAAGTGCGTCCTGTTTGGGGGAAGGAGAGGGTGTGAGATCCTAGATCTGTTTCTAACGCACACTCCAGTGGACGAGATGATCTTTGCTACATGTTTTATCACAGAGCTGGGCTTCATACAGGTCTGTTGTCTGGTGGTAGGTTGTTTTCTTCTTTTCTAAGCAGTGTATCTTTGTGTTTTTGTCAAGTAACAACTAGGAATAATATTTTATTTCCTTTATTATAAAGGAGAAAGATTTTTGCTTGGAGCATTTGCAAGGAAATTTATAGTTAGGAAATACTTTAAAAGGCATACCAATTTAGGAATGCCTTTTGGAAATTTGCGGATAAGTGTTTCACACACTTCGTATGTTGTGTGATTGTTTCAGAGTTGTGTTTTGCAGCAGGCCCACGTTAGCAGGTGGTTTGATTCCAAGAGAAAAAAGTCATTCGTTTAAACTCACACTGGCATTTCTAACATCGATAGTAAGCATTAACATTTTGTCTTCTTCCTACAGATTGAATTTGAATGCATAAATGAAAAAAAGAGGCAAAAGAAGAAAAGCTACAAGAATTCAGGTGTTATCAGTGTGAAACAGTGTGAGGTTAGTTGTCTTGACCATTTGTAGTGGAAGGAGACCACATTTCGAGTTCTTACATCACTGTGATATATATCAGACAAACTCTTAAAATTAGGGCAATTGAAAATCACATGAGCATCTGGGAATCTTTCAAGTAAGTTTGCTTTCAAGGTTTGACAACTCATAGCAAAGGACAAAGAATATTGAAGTTTTTCATTGTCTTAGGAAACGTGAGGCATCCGGGTATTTTCCTGGGGCACTAGTGCAAGTGGCCTGACCCAGTGCGTCTCTCCTGTCGTAATTTCAAGATGAGATGTTATGAGTGGAGGGAAAAACCCCGAGAGATTTCTTACAACAGACAAGTGGGGTTTTTTGTTTTTTGTTTTTTTTAAATCTTGATTACTGTGCTTATTAAAGCCCTCAGCACATTGGACCCATTGCTAGTTTCTTAAAACTTAAAGTCAGTCTGTTTCATCTTTGGCCATTAATATTCTAATCTTAACATTGCCATAATTATCTTAAAGTAAAATCTTAGAGATGCATGACGTGTGGGGCAGTGGCGCATTAAACCCAAGTGTGGCCACATGGTGATGTCATGTTCTGTCCAGTTTATAAACTGTTAAAAATTTAAAAATGTGTGCCAGAGAGCATTTTGTTTCTCTTGTGTCGTAGGAGAGTTTTAATTTTAACCATTTGCTGTTTGATTTTAGATTACAGTGGAATGCACATTCCTAGACTACATCATGGGAGGATGTCAGCTGAATTTTACTGTAAGTAACGCACTGGATTTTTCAGAGGAGGCTGTCACCTGTTGCTTTCTTCTTCCACTTCACAGTGTTCTTTCTTTTCCTGCGAAACCGACTTTGTGATGACATTTACACCATCTGTCGAGTGTGGCCTCCTCTGACAGGTCCCCTAGGTTCATCATGAAGCTTTTGGCTTTGCGGATAGGACCTGTTCCTTCCGGCAGAAGGCAGATGTGTATAAGCCAGTGATGATCCTGCAGTAGTTAACGTAGCAGAAAGCATTAGTCAGACAATGTACAGAATACAAGCCCTGCATCCGAAGTCACGATGTTATCATTCACGACTTAGGCGCCTAGAAAATAGGACTCGCAGGTGCTTCTGTGCTGAAGCTTTCATTGTTAGTTGTCTGTGGAGGCACCAGAGGCACAGACATTTGTGAGGAAATGGCAGCAGTGGGCTCTGGGATGAGTGTGTCTGTCTCGAGGTTGTCCCGGACACAAGCCCAGGGTCCCTGCCTTCTCCTGGTAAGGGCTGTGATGGTTATTTGCAGGTGGGAGTGGACTTCACTGGCTCCAATGGCGACCCCAGGTCTCCTGACTCCCTTCATTACATCAGCCCCAATGGTGTCAATGAGTATCTGACTGCCATCTGGTCCGTGGGACTGGTCGTTCAAGATTATGACGCGTGAGTATGACTGACGTGTTGTTTCCTGACTCCCAGAAAGCGCTGTTCTGCTTTACCTGCCAGCCCTCTCACACAGCTGGGGGGGTAAGGCTGCTGTGGGGAGGAGCTTTCTCCTCAGATAGCTCTTGTCTTCTCTTTTCTGTTTTTCTCTTTGTGACAGTCTGTGTGTTTACCTTTGACCTCTGATCTCTGGCTGCGATCAGTTGTTATGCGTGTGGATAGCTTCCTGATTAATCAGCTGACCGAGGTCAGCAAGGCTCTTGTTTCTTGGGTCTAGTTTCCTTGGGGTTTGCTCCTAGGGGTTAGGTTATCTGTGTGATTGAGTCCAGATGACACATTTTGTAAACACTATTTCTTAACATATCTGTTTTCTTGACAGTCATTGTCAAATTATTTTCTTAATGGCGACTTTGAATGACTGCCAAAGGATGACTTGACCTAATTGCTATAAAATATTTTGAATGGATTCTCAATGGATATATTTTGAATAGATTTAAATAGGTCCTCTTGAGGGCTTACTAAACAATAGAAAAAAAACATGCGTTAGTAACTTTTTGTTTTGTATCTGTTAGGGCAGAGTATAAATTTTCACTTATTTTTGCCTATTATTTGATGATAAAAGCACTTACATATTGATGGAGCTTTTCATTAATCTGTTATGACATTTAAAGAGATGAAATTTTCAGGTAAATGCTAACGAATCTAAAGCAAAGGTGGCACTATTAGGCAATATTAGCCTAGTAGATTTTAAAGCATTAAATGTAATTAAAAAATTACTTTGTAGAACACTTTGTTGTATTATCCAAAATGAAACTATAACCATGGATATGTTTAATTACAGAGTATCAAAATATTTCAATTGAAAATAGCTAAAAATATAGTAAGAATTTCAAAGTAACACAGTTATGTTGGGGCTCATATAAAGAGTAAAAGATTTACAGGGTTACTTTCTCAGACTGCCGCCTGTGAGTTAATAACAAAAGGGTAACTAAAGAAATTTTACCATATGGAAATAAATAAATTCTTATGTAGTTCTTAGATCAAAGAGGAAGTTGAAGTGTAATAACAGACTAGAAATAAAGGGTATGGAAGACTGTGGGTGGTCCTCTCTTTATAGAGGAAATTTTCTGACCTTACCTGCTTTTATTTTTAAACAAGAGGAATTGAATATAAATGAACTAGCTTTTCAACAAAATAAAATTAAAGAATAGGAAGAAAAAGTAAAAACATAATAATAGCAGCTTCTATGTATGTGTTAGCTGTGACGTGTCAGGGACAATTTAAAGTTCTTTCTGCATGACATTTGTCTAATCTTCATGCTCGCTGAGAGATGGGTCTTGTTATCATCTGCATTGCACCAATGAGGAAACTGAGGCATAGGGGTCCAGTAACTTCTCCAGGGCCCCTCAGCTGGTGACTGGAGGGGACAGGACTCAGCCTGGGCTGTCTGGCTCCAGAGACACGCTCTCACAGCTGTGCTTCCTGTAAACACAGAAAGTGATGGCTTGCAAAGTTTTTCAAAAACCATCAAATTAATAAATTAAATGAAGAAATGATTCTTTGCAAGTTAACAAAATTTAGGCAAATGTTTGGCAACACTGACTCCCAAGAAAGAGAGAAAGCATGCATGGAATGTCAGTAATGAGACAGAGATTATAAGCTTAAATTGAGAAAACATGTAGAAGATTGTAAGTTAGTACTTTGTAAAATTTTATACTATTAATTGGAAACTGTAGATTAGAGGATGATTTTTTAGGAAGCTGTAAATCCCCAAAGTTGACTCAAAGAGACAGAGAGCCGGAGTGGACCAGGAACCATGGAAGGGAAGGGACAGCTGGTCCAAGGCCATTCCTCCCCAGAGGCACGGGGCCAAGAGCATCCCAGACGCAAGTTCTAGCAGACCAGTGGAGGGTGAATTCACACCTGAGAGACTCAAGTGAGCAGTGTTAGACAGTGGTGAGCATTCGGAAAGGCGGTCAGCTACAACGTAAAATAAAAAGTCAGCAACTTTTCACTAACAGCAAGTAACCAACCGAAGAAATTATAGTGGATAAAAGATGACAATTCATTATACAATAAAAAATGAGAACGAGTTTAGTAAGAGGTCTAGGATCTTTAGTGAGGGAGAAGTGCAGAATTTTACTGAGGGACAAAGAAGGAAACTTGTTTAACTGGACACACATACCACAATTCTAGATAAGCAGGTGCCACAATAATGACATAAAATGTAAAATTTCTCACTGAATTCGTCAACTGTAATCAGAATTGCAGTGAAACCATGATAAAATAATTCTTGAAACTTTCTAGAGGATAAAATGAATCAGAATAGCCAAGAAACTTTTCAGGAAAATAAAAACAGAAATGAAGGGGAATTTGTTCCAGCAGTTATTAAAACTTGCAAAGCTATATTAGTTAAGAGTCGGGAACTGGTACATGACCAGTGGAACAAAGCAAGAAGCCCTGAGATAGCCCCAAGCGTGTGTGTGCATTTAGTAAGTGATCCAGATGGCCTTTTAGCAGAAGGGGCTGTGACAGCTGTCAGACTGGACAAGAGCTGGATGTGGATCCCTGGCTCATACCTGTGTGTGTTAGGATACTGTTCTGTATAAATTAGAGTGTAGACAAAAATGCTGATATGGGCACCCAGAAACAGAGTGGTTTCGGCAAAATAGAGGTTTTTTTCTCTCTCATGGTGCATGTCTAGAGGCAAGTAGGTCGGGTTGATGGGCGGTTCTGCCGTGCTCAGCGCATAGCATCCACCTCTGGGCCCAAGGTGGCTGCTGTGGGAGGAGGACACAGGACCTGCGAGCATCTGCATTCCCTCTCAGGGGCATGATTCAGACGCGGCTGACAGATCCTTCTATTCACGTTTCCTTGGCAGAACCTAGCCCTGGCCACACATGGGCGGGGCGGCTGAGAGGCTGGAGTAGAGCTGGTCTCCCGCTGGAGTGTGCTGTTATTAAAGAGGGAGGAGCGGGTTCTGTCTGCTATCCTTCTCCAGACACCTTCGAGATGAATTAGAAGTTTAATATCAAAAACAAGCCTTGAAGGTTCTAGGAGAAAATGTATGTGAATTGTGTATAATCTCGCAGTGAGGAGGCCTGAAAAGCAAGACAGTGAAAGCAGAAGTCGTAAAAGAACTTTTCTCTGTTCACATTCATTAATATTAAAAATATAGAGGGAAAGATATTTTAAACAAAGTTAAAGACAGACTCCAAACCAGGAGAAATATTCCTGACATGTATGACCTAGGTGCTATCCTCAATGCAGAAAAGGACCATAAGAATTGGTACCAAAAAACCCAATAATAATAATAATAAAAATAATCAGTTGAGGTCAGTTTTTGCTGCCAGAGTTTTCTGTAAATGAGTGAAAAAACTTGTGGTTTTGGGGGCTTTATAGATTAATTGTGTATTTATTCAGTGAAATTATATACAGTATTTAAGTAGAAAGGAATATGCTATAAAACGTGGATATAAATTCCTTTTTTATAAACGTATATGGAGAGACACTTTTCTCCTTCAATGCACAGAAACATGCTTAGAATGAGAGCTGCCAAACATTAGCGTTGGTTCTCTTTGTGGTTATTATGGGTAATTTTTGTTTTATATTTTTCCAAGATTTTGAATCTTTAAAAAGTAAGCTTATATTGGTTTTATTGTGACTAAAGATAAAACTCTATTTTGAGAAAATGATCTTTTGCTTTTTTCAAATTTTCTTTTCAGTGATAAGATGTTTCCAGCCTTTGGTTTTGGAGCCCAGATCCCTCCTCAGTGGCAAGTAAGAGGAAATCTCCTTTTAAAGCTTTTTCTCCTGGAAAAGCAGCTTGGGCCCCATCAGTCCCTTTTTCATCTTTTGACAGGTTTCGCACGAGTTCCCACTGAACTTTAACCCATCCAATCCCTACTGTAACGGTAAGTTAGAGAAGAAACCTGAAAGTTTTGAACTGAAAGCATGCTAGTATTTGTCACCTCTTTGTTTTTTCCTGGTGATTTAAAGCTACTCAAAATCCCTCTCCAGGTTCCTTTTTGTGACGTGTTTAGCTTTCTGTTGTGCAAAGGAGAAGAATGGCACCAAGCTGGGGGTGAGAGTGGTGGCCCCAGTTCTGGGGCGGGTCTCCATTATGGTGAGGATCGCGGGCTAGATTCTTCTACGGAAGAGGCTGGAGAGAACAAGACTTCTCAGTCTTGAGAGTAGATCAATAAGAATAATCCTGTTATTTTCCCATATTGGTTGATTTCAAAATAAACCTTCAATAAAATGAGTCATTCAGTGAACAGAGTAGCTGTCGGTCTCTGCAAAGAGGTGCCCAGCATCGAATTGCTTGTTGTGCAGACAGTGCTCGGTATGCAGATGAGGTGGGCCACGGATGAGGAACTCAGCGACTGTGGCGCCTTCCTCTGTGTAGAAAGCAGGCGCAGATGCTCACCCTTCCTTTCGCTTTTTTCTTTATACCTTGAATATCGAAGCTTCCTCCTTTCCACCCCATTGAGTAGTCAACCTAAAATGCCAAATCTCCCACAAAATTATGTAAGACTGAACAATTTTGAGTAGGAAAAGGAGGTAGGAGCAGAGGCATAAAATTGTAGACAATAAGCCAATTTTCTGTCCTTTTGACAGTTACAAAATGTCTAGATTCCTAACGGAAGAAGGTATTCTTTCCTTCTCTTCCTAAACAGTGTTCATAGAAGAGCATGGACAGTGTGCTGGGAGGAGTTTGTGTTAGGATTTTCTTCTTTTTTCCAGAACACATTTTCCAAATTAATTCCCTGTGGCTTTGATGCCCTTTCAGTGGCTGGTTGTGATCTTTTAAGCCTTTTTAAGCCTAGCCGTTAGAAGCTGGGAATATCATTCTTTTCAAGAAATGGGCTCTATGTTCATTGACTCTGTGAGGAACTTTTGATTTTTAGAGAAAGAATCAGTTTGATTTTTAGACAAAGGAGATACTGTACAGAAAAATCCTGCCTTATTTTAAGGCAAGGGAGTTGAATCCCCTTTTCCTAATTACTTATTGAATTTAGTTGCCCCAAAATACCATGTCTCACTTTTTCATTTAATGCAAAGGAAGGATTCTGGCGTAATTCGGTTTTAGTGGAAGAATAGAAGGCAGTTGACATTTGTGAAGAAGTTTAATTGGTAGTTTGTATACCTTCAGATTGAAAAGTGAGCTAAGATGACAGAAATGGAAGAAAATACTGTTATTGCTGCAGTTACGGACTCGTTTTCTACGGCACATGTGATGGTGGTTGGATCCTGGTGCCGGCCTCTCTTAGCATACTGTCGTTGTTAGCACTGGAGTGACAGATCATAGTCACAGCCTCGCCCGGTGGCCGTAAACCACCTCTACATATGGATTAGTTCCGTTCTCAAAGGTTGTTCCTAAGACCACGTACTCCTAAATTCAAAGTGACCAAGAGGAGTTTGCTGGGACTCTTAATGCTGAGAGGAGAGAGTGGGTCTTGTGAGGCTTTTGAGCCGAGTGTACACTCCTCCTCCTTGTTGATCTCTGTTATCATGGGCATTTTTTAACAAGAGACCTGTTTTGGTTTATATTAAAAGTCTTCTGAGGCAGATTTCCTTGATGATCTCGGCATGTGTTGTGGGGGAATTTTTGGAGGATTTCTGGTATCTTACCTGAATTCTGGACACTAACATGAGGAGTAGACTCAGCAGGTGCCTTGTGGCATTAACGTTTCGTCAGTGGTGCTTTTGTCAGGCATGTCATTCTCCTCTCAACGTGTGGTGCTGTTGTAATAAACAGTCTCTGACGCTCAGTGACTCATGATGACAACAGTTTATTTCTTGCCCACTTCACATACTGCTTTACCTGTGGCTGGGCTGCAGCTCTGCTCCGTGTTTCTTCTCGTGTGCTGCTCCTGTGGCCGAGGGAAAGAGCAAGATCGTTGGTGAAAACAGGCGTTCGTTCTTAAAGTGCCTGCTTAGACATGGGTGTCATGTCTGTCTGCGTGATTGTCAAAGCTAGTCAAATGGCCCTGCCCAATCTTCTGTGACATAACATCCCGGCAGGCCTAGGCAATACCCCATAAACAAACGCATTCATGCTTCTGCAGCAAAATGTGATAAATCACTGGGAAGTGAGTATTTGGAACTACACACTCTCCCATGCTATGCGTAGCCTGTAAGCTGTTGAATAAAGCCCGGACCAGAATTATTAGCTTTATAGCCATCTGGTGTTCTTTTAGAGCCTCTGGCCATATATGCAAAAGTTTGCCCATGTAATCAGTTTTTCTTAGCTCTTATGGTCAGTTGCATGATGCAGCACCATTTATGTCGTTCTTTTTCCCTCAGAGTCTCATTCCCTGAACACATCGGGATCAAGCAATGGAAAAGTTCTACTGTAGATCAATGACTGATTTGGCTGAGATGAAAATAAATGCCTTCTACTAGGGGAGGGTAGAATCTATAGGTTTTTGTGATGGAGCATAGCTGTGGAGTTTTGTAATATATAGCTTAGAGGAACTCCTGAATGTAGAAATTTTAACTATTTAAAGCACTATTCCTTCATATATAATTAGCCAATATGGTGAATAATGAACCCTTAAATTGTGCTTGAGAATTTGTAACACTGCTTTTTTGTCTAGGAATCCAAGGCATTATAGAGGCATATCGGGCCTGCCTTCCTCAGATAAAACTCTATGGACCAACGAATTTTTCTCCAATCATAAATCATGTGGCCAGGTTTGCCGCTGCAGCCACGCAACAACAGACAGCTTCTGTAAGTGCGCTGTCGCCAGGGGGCCGGGAGAATGGGGAGTGGTAGTTGCTCCTGGCGCCATTTTTATGTTTATTTGGTGTGTCAAGATATAAAGTCAGAGCTGAAATAATGATATCATCATCCTTGGTTTGAGAGTAACATCTGTTGTTAACTTAGTGATCATTAAAAGCAAGACAACAACACAACAACCCTTATACTTGTGAGTCTCCTCTCTGTCTTTTGCATTAATTTTTCTTAAATAGGTTCCACCCCCAAAAACGGCTGTCTCCCTTTCTGAAGGTATATTTAACAAATTAAGGCTTGAGGAGACTTACGACTGCGGTAGATGTTGCAAAATTACTTACTGTGCTGAAAGGTTTGAATTAGACAACCATTACCTGTTGGACCTTGGATACAAAATCTCTCTGAGGTTCAGTATAGTCAAAGAGAAGGCGGGGATCACCCCTCATACGGCTGCTGAAAGGCTGAGATAAGATAACTCATAAAGGACACAATGTCTGGGTCGGAGTAATCACTCAGCACACGGGAGCTACTCTTAACACAACTTATTCCCATTCTAGATTTAAACGACCCGAAAGGTGGAGTCACAACTTTATGTAACGTTATACCACTCTCTAAGAAGGCTGAGCAGAGATGACACAATTGAGAGAAAGATTCCCCCCCTTAAGGCATATCCACTTTTTTAAAGCCTATTTTAATTCGATAAACAATTCTTCTTCCATATTTGGTCTTTTAAGAACAGAGTTGCCACTTGTTTCCTTGGTATTTGGACATATTTAATACTTCAGTTAAATCAAAGTGTTTATTCCTATGCATACTCAAGGTTTAGTCGTTGACATTTAGATGTCTTGCTTCCGTGTATCTATGTCTACTCTATTTTGTGGTCCGTTGCACTTTTAATAAACCTGCAGTTTTTGTATCAGTAGATTTCCTTGTCATCAGAGAATCTTAGAATATTTTGTGTAGATGGCATCCTGGGTAGATACTGGCAAGGAAAATGAGCAAGAAAGAGACGAAATGACTCATCAGGCTGAAGATGTATTAATCATTGCTTTTGTTGTTTGGGAGCTTGACCTGCTCAGTGGACATAATTTTCTCTTTTGGCAGCAATATTTTGTGCTCCTAATCATTACTGATGGTGTGATCACAGACCTTGATCAGACCAGACAAGCCATAGTGAATGCTGCCAAGCTGCCGATGTCCATCATCATCATTGGAGTTGGAGGAGCGGACTTCAGTGCCATGGAGTTTCTGGATGGCGATGGCGGAAGTCTCCGCTCCCCGTCGGGCGAGGTTGCCATCAGAGATATTGTCCAGTTTGTACCTTTCAGACAGTTCCAGAACGTGAGTACCACTCCTCCGTTTTCTTCGTGCACATTAACGTGTCTGAACACAGACCCTGCCAATCCATAACCGAGTCGTTGAGTAGTGTTTGGGGTGCGAGGATGCGTGAATTTTCCATTTGAAGAGCTCTGATTAGATTTGGCAGTTTTTCTTGAGGTTGTAGACTTTTGTGCCTCTTGTAGTCTATATGATAAATTCTTAAAAACAGTGTTATTGTAAATGTCTTAAATATTTTTTTCTTTATCTATGTAGCAGCAGAAAAACTCTGTATGCATATATGATGAATTTACCAAACTGGAAGTTGATTTGATGAAAATCTCTTAGGAGACTATTTCACCCAGTTTACACCAGTGGTGACATCTTTTCAAACTGCAGTACAGAATCTCAGCCAGGATATTGACATTGATACAATCAAGGTCCATCACCACAGGCTCCTTCCTGTCGCCCTTTCTAGCCACACCCACTTCCCCTCCCACCCTCATCCCCTCCTTAACCCCCGGCAACTGCTAATTTGACCTCCATTTCTATAATTTCGTCATTTCAAGAATGTTATGTAAATGGAGTCGTGCAGTACGCAACTTGTCGAATTGACTGTTTTTCACTCAAAGTAATTCTCTGTGAGTCACCCAAGTTATTGCCGAGCGGTATTATTCCATGTGTGGGTGCCCCACTGTGTTCAAACTTTCACCCTTGAAGGACATCCCAGTTGTTTCCAGTTTTCATCTGTTACACACAGAGCTCCTATAACCATTCGCGTATAGGTTTTTGTGTGAACACGTTTTTGTTTCTTTGGGATTATAGTGCGGTTGCTGGGTCATGGTTGTTGCATGTTTAATTATTAAAGAAACTGTCGAACCTGTTCCGCCTGGTTGTGCCAGTTTACATTCCCACCAGCCAGTGTATGAGTCCTGGGGAGAGAAAGGGGATGTGATAAAAAGCGGTAATGTTAGGGATCTTTGTGGTGATGAAACAGTGTATTTTGATTGTGGTGCAGTTACACAGATCTACCCAGATGAGAAAATTATGTGCACACACACGCAAGTGCATGTAAAACTGGTGAAATCTGAATAAGGTCTGTGAACTGCACGATGTCATTTTCCTGGTTTTGATGTTGGACTGTAGTTGTATAAGATGTTATCTTTTGATCAAACTGGGTGAAAGGTACATGGGACCTCTCTGTACTTATTTTTGCAACTTCCTATGAATCTATAATTATTTAGAAATAAAAAGGTAAAAAAATTAATACCAAATGAATGAAAGGCCCACATTTAAAAGTTAAAGAACAAAAATTATCATCAAATGCCAAAATGCTGGCGCCAAGCTGACTTGATAGGCGTTAGTGGGGTAATTAAGCGTTCCTAAGTGACATCGGTTAGCTCACGCCGTGTTTCATGGGCCGTGTCTAAGACAAGATATAAGCCTACCAAGTGGGAATTACTGCTTTGTACTGACCGGTGAGGTATTCCTAGTCTTTTATCAAAATGCCCGTAAAAGTTTGGTTGCTAATGAAGTGGCTTTGATTCTGTTTCTCACAGTCTCCTAAGGAGGCGCTGGCTCAGTGTGTCTTGGCGGAGGTCCCCCAGCAGGTGGTGGGCTACTTCAACACTTACAAACTCCTTCCTCCCAAGAAGCCGGCTGCGGAATGAAGGGAGCGCGGCCCGAGCAGACTTCCTCTGTGCTGTGGGGAGCAGTGTCCTCACCCCCCCAAGTCACGAACCTGTCACTCACATCCTTTCCACCCCCCGCCTTTTTCCTGTAAACCTAGTTCTCTGTGGAGTATCTCTATTTAACGCATTCTTTGTGTGCTTTTTTTGGAGGAAAGTGCTAAGTTAATCTTTGCCCAATCAATTCAGTGACTGCTAGTGATTTATAGTAATTGCAGTGAGGCTGTTTGGATTAGAAAATCGTGTGAGAAAAGACGCTTTTGTCGTGGTTATTTACTTTCACATGATGAAAATGCTGTTTTTGAATGTTTATCAATAGGAAGAATGAAACATTGTTGGACAAAGCGATTTAAGGTCGTTAGTTAGTTAGTTCTAGGTCAGTTCTAGGCAATAGATGTCTTACCAGCCCGTGTCCATACCTGATGGCAAGAGCTTCTTAAATTCGATGGTATTAAATTTGTGCCTGTAACCGTATCAGTGCTTTTCCGTGAGATGAACCTGCCTTCACTCACGCTGAATTGTGCCACACTTCAGACACTGTGCGCGTTCACACAGGACTGCACCAACAGCTCTGAGCCAGAGGGAAGGCACACAGTCAGTTCTCAAACGTACAATCAACCAGTAAGAGGAACCTCATGTAAATAAGCCACTTCTGTTTGCCTTTCTCAGTCTTTCATTTTCATTGTGGGAGAGTATACACAGTCAGATTTGAACATTTCACAGAGGACGTGTGACACTGGGGATTCTGTACGTGCGTAGACCGTACCTGGTCCTGGAGTCAGCATTATTAGATTATTTTAATTGGAGTTTGTTAAAGTGGCTAGGACTGCTTTGTCCAGGAAAGCTGTGAGGACCAGGCATATCAGAGGACGTTCAGAATTCCATTTCCTTTTAACTAGCGAAAGACTTTACTTATTAAAAAAAAGACATTTTTTATACTTTTCTTGCTAAGGTCCCATACGTTGATTTGTGCATTTGTACAGATTCATTTACACATTTTCTTCTCTTTTTTTTAGTAACATTTTTGGTCTGATTTTTAAGCTCATGGTAGTGGTTATCTGTTAATCAAAATGACATTTTACATTTTAATAATGTGCTCTTTCCTAGGCCAGGAATGTAGTGTGTGAAGCATAAAACCTGTTGTAACTTGAAAAAAAAAGAAATTCCAACTGCTGCGTTAGGATGGAGTGGCCTTTATATGTTTTTTTTTAGAGCAGAATTTTTTTCCTCGATTTTTTGCCTTTAAAACATATTCCTTAGCAAACATTACATTTTTTGAATAATGTGAGGCTTTGTTGAGGACCTGTGTGCCAAGTCCTGTGCAGATCCGTGTATTGGCCAATCGCCCCTCACAGGTTAGCCTTAGAAACTGCGTGTGTCAGGAGCCTTGGGTGGATGCCCGGCGCCGTGCTGACGGCCTTTCCGGCCTCCTGAAAACTTGCCACAGCGTGTCTCTTGCCTCTGCAGTGGCCGAGGAAGTGAGCTCTGGGCCGTGAACAGCTGTGGCTTCTCAGAAGCAGCTGCTTGCCGAGGTCAGGGCAGGGGCCTGCCTGCTGCCTGGTCGCCGGCCGCTCGTTACCGCCTCGGCCTGGGCTCGCTGTCGTGCAGGGGCGCCGGTAGCCTGAGGCGCTGCCCTCGCAGCCACGAGGCACTTTGACATCAGTTAAGGGAGGAGAAAACAGATCGTCCTCCCGAGTTTGGAGCCTTTGCTGTCTCAGGTGTCCTGATCTCACTTCTCTGTGTGTGTTTGGCAACAGCAATTTTATGTCGCTGTGGTTTTGAGAATTTTCTTTTTTAAAAACATGAAGCCTTTAAAAAAAAAATGATTTGCGCCTGTCCTCACTGTCTGGTGAAGCAGACAGAAGGAGAGCCCGCCTGAAGCGTGTGCAGGGCTCCTGCTCTCCGTGACCAGCCCAGCTGCTCGCAGCACCCACGTCACCTCTCAGGGCTTGGGGACCCCTGGCCACGAGCATTCACTGTTTTCACGGCCAAATAACAGGACTTCTGTCACCACTGTCAGACTGATTTAGTCTTCATAATTTTATGTGCTAGTTTTAATCGGAATTGTTCCCTTTTTAAAATTAATTTTTTATTATTCATTCTTGATCATGTTCATCAGTAGAGGCTGTTCATAAGAACTCTGATTCTAGCGAATTAGGGTAATTGATACCTTTCTGCAGTTTTGAATAAAAGCATTTACAATTCTAAATTATTGTTTTATAAAATTCTTACATTTCAGCATTCCCCTCATCACATGCTGATGTAATATTGTTTTATATTAAAATCGTCCTTTTTGCTGTTGTGCCACCATTCACGCAAGTACCGTTAGTTCTTAAAATGCGTTTAAAGAAAAAGTGACCAAGTCAACTTTCACACCTCCAGTAATCAGGTAGATTACAAACCCATCCTGGGGGACAGTGCCTGGGCAGATGTAGTTTCTCCCCGCTGCCTGTACTGAATAGTGTGCAGTTAGCGTGGTCCCCTCACCTCGTGCTTGGAGTGGAAGTCGTCACGATCGCGAGAGTTGACACTCAGATCAGGGGTTCGCCGCTGCTCGCTGTGGCCGTGCCAGAGGCAGCCTTTCCAGAGCAAATCCAGGGCCCCACGGCGCTCATGCCTTCTCTGACTGCTTTGCCTTTTTCGTTCTGTAAATTGACTGGAAAGCCATCTTTAATAAACTCCTCCTGTCTCTTTATGTGTGCGGTTTATGGCCATGGAAGTGACACTTGAGGGAAGCCAGAAGTTTGGTTGAGATTGTGAGAGGCTCTTCTGTGCTTCTATGATATCATACCCGATAACACGTGTGTAAGTTACTAATATGTGAATTGTGTTAAATGTATCTTCCGTTTGAATTCCCTTTGGATGAAATTATTTCTTGATGTGATACAATAGTGCCTTGTTCTGATTTTTGTTCTTTCCCTAAATGTTATCAAAATCAGTAGAAAAGTTAGAAATAAAGTGAATATAGCATTTTAAGTGGCCTGTGTTCCATACTTTACTGAATTAAACAGTTTGGGGGATTTTATTATTTAATGGGATTTATTCATTTAAAAGGTGTTGAATGCATTCGAGATACTTCCTGGGCGCAGTAAGGGAAGTGTTCTCAGCTTGTACCCAGGGTGGCCTGAGAAATACGGTGCTCAGGTTTTATCAGTCGTGTTAGGTGGGATGATACATCCACCTAAATTTTTTTTAATTGCTTCTATTATGTTTCGGTCACTGGGCAAGGCCTTGGGGATACATTGCTGGCCTAGGCAGCCACAGTTGCTGTCTTCATAGAAATAATGGACCGAGGGAGAGAGGAAACATTAAATGAGTAATGACAGGGACGTGAGGTCAGTGTGTGATGTAACATGTTGTAGGGGAGAGCGGACCCAGCTTGCTGGCAGGGAGCATTTCCCTGAGGACGTGCCACCTAAAGAAAGACGTTAAAGTTAGCTGGGTGAAGAAGGTTAAAAGCATTTATAACCATGTCGGGTCAACAACAAGTATGGAGTTGAATGTTTTAGGAAGGAAAAGAAATTTAAGTTTGCTGGAATATAAAGTGTGGGAGGGAAAGGGGTAAGAGAAGAGTGGAGAGGTGGGGCAGAGGTGTGGGTGAGCTTTATATTCTGCCGGGCCCTCTGGGGCGTGCAGGGGAGTTCAGACTCAGGCTAAAGGTCATGGGAGGCTGCTGAATAGACCTAAGCAAAGGCAGATGTGACCGGACCTGTGTTTTTGAAAAGCTGGAGGGCCTTACATTTTAGGACTAACAGATGGGACCCTGTCGCACACTTGGGTCTGGCCACAATGGCTTTGCTTTCGTGAGGCCCCAATGGGGGAGTTGTTGGTAGTCATCTTATGGTGGAGACTCTGCTGTGTGGTCACACACTTACCAAGTGTCCGATGTCAGGTCAGTTTCTGAATCAAGTGCTTTTCCTGCCACAGCGCCACCTCCACGTCAAGTCATCTGTTAGGCCCATATCTCATCAATTCCCTAATGGGTCAGAGGCTGGCTCACACCTGGTGATGACATGGACCCCTAGGATTGCCAAACCCTTGCTTGTAGGGAGACCATCGCCCTTGTCACTTGTCACCAAGCATGGCTACATTTGGCTGAACTCCTTAGAAAACTCACAGCAGGTTGCAGGGTCCTTGGAGAATTGCACTTTAGGTTAGCTGTTGATTCTCTCCTCCCTAAAAAGAAGTGATCAGTGAAGTAATTGCCATTATAAGCAGAATTCTGACTTCTGTACACTCAACAGGCAAAAGTCAAAATGAGCAAAATTTCTTACTAACTTCAAAAAACTTACAATGAGCAAGGTGAGGCAGCCCTCTGTGCTCAGTGTGACACTGTCCCTTCTTATGCCTTTGGGCATCCATAGTCATGAATACAGAGGAGGCCCCTGAACACTGCTTCTGGCAAGATGCTCCCTCCTCCCCTCCACTGCTCCCAACATTATCCTTCCAACTGGTCCTGCCTGTTCACATAGGAAGCTCAGATTATGAGCTTCCTCACTCTAAACCCTGTATGGCTCCTCCATACAATCAATATTCGGACCACGTCCCACTTCTCTCCAGCTTCCCAAAACCCCCTACTCTGCCCTTGGGAACTGAGTCATTCGTTAGCAAAATCCTTCATATCAGTGCTTTTTCTGAACACTCCCTTCATGTTTTTGTCCTAATTAAGACCTGGCTCTCTTGAAGAACCTTACTTCCTCTGCAGCCCTCTCTAGGGGTCATTTTCTCTTCCTCATCTACCATGGGGGCTTGGAGGCAGGGTAAGTGTGCTCCTTGGTCCTCTCTCTGCTTTCAGATAACTTTCCCCTCCTCTTTACGACAACCAGCTTTGAATATTATGTTAGACTAGGCCACTCTCTATCCCTTCTTCTAATCATCTTATTCTCCACCTCACCCGCCCTCACTCCTAAGGTCATACCCTAGGCCTTCTCATTATTGAGAGCAAACCCCTCCCCAGTCTCAATTTCAAGCATCCCATTTTCCAACAACAACCCACTTCCCAGCTCACTCCCTGTAGTACCACAACTCCAACGAATCATTCTCCATCAGTACCTTCAATTCACTAACCTTCCAACGTTTCCATGGCTCTCATGGTGCTTTTCTAAACTTTCCTGCTAGTCTACGCCTTGGCCATTCTGCTCCAACCACATGGGCTCTCTTGCTCTTACTTGAATGTGCCTGGTGCACTCCTGGCCCAGGGCTTTTGCACTTGCTGTCGCCCCTTCCTGAAGACCTCCCCCTGGTCACCTGTGAGCCTTGCTCCCTCACCCCCTTCAGGTTTTTGTTCAAGTATCAGCCAGTGGGGACTTCGCCGATCACCCTCTTTAAAATTGTACCTCTTTCCCCAGCACCTTCTATCCCTCTTTCCTGGTTAGGTTTTACTTATTCTGTTTCTTGTCCTCTTCACCCTCTAGCATGTAAGTTCCAAGAAATCAGGGATTTTGTTCGCTGCTGCATCGCCGGAGCCCGGAAGAGAACTGGCATTTAGTAGGCACTCCCTAATAGACATGGGAAGAATGCGTGAATAAGGCGTGTGTTAGAGCAATGCAAGGAGAGAAGCCCGTGTATATGAGAAAATATTGAAGCTCGGAGTGGGAGATTTTCTTTCAACGTGGGGAGCAGTCAGACCAGTGGGAGATCTGGAAAGGCTTCCTGGGTTACACAGGAAAGGTTTCCAGGTTACACAGGGCTTAACGATGTACAGAAAGCAGAAGAACCTCCAGACAAGGAAATCCACAGTGTCCCTGACTTGGAGTCAGAAGGGAGGGTGGGTTGGGAACATTGTTGGTACAGGGAGATGAAACGTGTTTGTAATAACCCTTTTATCTCATAATTGAATCTCTTTACTCACTGTTACAAATGGGATATCAAAATTCCAACTGTTCATCTTTCACATTCCTACTGTAGTGAAATCTGTGGTTAGTCCCTTTCTGAAGGCAAAGCTAAATAGGAGACTTTCCTCTTGGATTCAGAGTATAAATATGGTCCTAACGTGGCCGACTTGACCCTCATTTCGCCTCATGAAATCTTGGAAATGTACCAGGTGGTTTGGAAAAGTCCTTCTTCAGATGCTACTTGTACCAATGGTAGTTAGCCCATGATCTTCATGTTTGGAAAAAACGCAGTATCTTTGTCCTGGAGCTCTGCCATCCTCTGCTGTGATTCTAGACCCAGAATTTTGTTTCATGTTTTGTATCATGGGCGCTTGGAGTAGAAATCTCTAAATTCCCTCTCAAGTCTAAGATTCTGGTATAAACAACACAGCTTTGATTTATTTAAAGCTGGGTGCAAGAAATGCATCACAAGCCTGGTTAATAATCCTTAGCATGCACTGCGTGCTGAATTCTGAATTCCTTAGGACTCCCGGCAGAGAGGGTGCTCGTAATTTATCGCAGAATCGTTGTGTGTAGGGGGTGGAGATGCAGGGGTGTGGAGCGCCAGTCAGAGGTGCTCTGACCTGTCAGGTACGCTTCCCTTTCCTCCTCAGAGGGACCTGTTGTCTAGAAATGTCAGGTTGTATTGCTTAATGATGCACATTGATTTGACCTTTGCTCTGTCACTTGTGGTCACAAAAGTTGTAGTCGGAAAAACACAGCCCGTCATAAAACCTCATGGAGGAAAACATCAAATTTTACTACAGTCTATGGATCAGGTCCTTAAAACATGAATTCCAAGTATCTTTGCTCTGATTAGATATAATAAGTTCCAAAACAGCATAATGGTTAATATCTTCAAACGAGTTTTAACATTCCTCATAGGAAGGTAAAAGAATTATTATAAATATAGAATAGGCCCAGATTACAGAAAATACCTAGTCTTCTCTTATTGGTGTTCTATGTAGCAATTTTTCATCTAATGCATTAACCGAGATAGAACAGTCTGTTATATATTATTTTAGGGTTATTTAAACTAGTGTTAAGCCAAAGATGGTTCCTAGAATATGGAAAGGGGGCCAAGTTACTCCCTTCTTGTGGGTGTACTTAGAGCTTTTGGCTCATTCTAATACAACATTTGTTGTGGTGGTACACTTTAAAAGTAATTTCAAGTTCAGAGCTCTCTGTTTTAGATAAAGAGAGGTTCTGCTTACTTTTGACATGGTCTGTGTGAAGGGTTACCAGATTTAGCAAACAAAAATATGGGACATCCAGGTAAATTTGAATTTCAGATAAACAACAACTGATTTTCTAGTAGTGGCGGGACCTAAATATGGCATGGCATACACTAAAACTTATTCATGACCTGGGGGTCCTCATTTTATCTGGCCATCCCATCTGGGTGGCGGGTTGCAGAAATGGCTGTGACCCTTCCCCTTGCTGTAGACTCCCCTTTCGCAAGGTGACTGTGCCGTCCTCTCATCGCGAGGTGGATTTTATTTCTCCACATCGAGGCTAGTCTTGTGACCTGGCTAATAGAATGTGGCAAAGGTAATGATGTGCCAACTCTGAGCCGAGACCTCCAGAGCTTTGCTCCCTTCCACTTTCTCCCTCCGGGACCCTGTGCGGCCTCGAAAGGGAGACCACATGGGTTAGAGACAGGCGTCCCACCTGACACTTTCTAGACCAGCAGCCCCCAGCCCCTCCAGCAGCTGCCTAGAGAGCGTGATGGAGCCCAGGTGAGGCCAGAAGAACCACCAGGGAAACCCAGCCCAGGTTGGCAACCTACAAAATCATGATTATTATTTTAAGTCGCTAAGTTTTAGTTAGCAAAGCAAATTGACATAGTCCAACAGCGTGAAGCAAAGCTGGGCGTTTTTTAAGACTGGAGAACAGCTTATAGGTCATGCCAAGTTTTCAGGGCCACAGATGAAAGTAACGTGAGAGGTAATTTCGTAATCAGTTTTGAGCAAATAACACTTGGGGATGGCCTCAGGGAGTCAGAGGAAATTGCGTGTTGAATAAACACTTGAGCCCACAGAAAAAATTTCACTTCTCCAGAGAGACTTTGCTCTGCTTCTTCCACCGTTTGATGTCGATCAG